GATTTAGTCAGGGGTATATAGTACAAGTTATGGACAGGTCATGGGCCGTGAATTTTTGTTTACTGCTCGTGACCTATCCATTACTTTTACTAAAAATACCTGTGACTAAAATGTAGCCTTAGTGATAAGTCCCTATACCAGTAAATCAGACTGATCAGGGATGAGGCAAGGGAAGAGATAAAGAAATGTAATGGGGGAAAATGCAGCCTCAGAAATAAGAGGTAAATGGAAAGCTCCACCTACTGCCCTCAAGTATCTCCTTGACAAGCCTCGAACCCCTGTCTCAGAAAAGTGATGAAATCCACTGCCATACACCTTGGTCAGGGAAGAAGATCAAAATCTCTCACTCCCATCAACCTTTTATTCTCCTCTAAACCTCAGCTGTCTATCTGCTCACAAGCGATAGAAAGTATACACATACACTAGATTGTCTTTTATTCTCAAAATAATTGTGAATGAGCCACAATAAACCAATGTAAAATACATCTTCTAAAACATCGTGTAACCCTTAACCTCATTACTGTGATTGTGGGGGAGGGCACAAATTATTTTATCTTGCTATTTTGAAACAACAAAAGGGGCCCTGACGTCAAACTCAAACCTCCAACATTTGACAGACCTGTGTCACACCCTATACAAAACTGACTTATAAACCTCTATGCTCTGTAGTGTAAACCATCCATTAATTCACAGGTTCAGAAGAAACTTCTCCTAAGGACAGTCTATTCCATATTGTCCAATGCAGGTTTCTTGTAGTTTCCTCTAAAATATTTGGTACGGATAACTGTCAGACATAGAATATTGGACTAGATGGATTACGGGTCTGATCTTGTATTCCTGTGTTCCAATGGTATAAGGCATCTGTTTCATGCCCTGGTAAATCACAAGTTATCACATCTTAGCATATTGTCATCAGTATGGAAAAAGTAGCATTTTTCTCTCCCTCTGAGACCTACGCACTTGGACTACTGGTACTAAGAAAACCTTATCTTTAGCAGTGGAGGGATCTGAAAAATAGTACCAATAATTGTTTTTAAAAAACTATGACTTTACGAAAGCAGTTTTTCTGAAAACACCTAACATATTCAGAATACTATGGTATAAAGCTCTTATTAGCTCTTGTGTGGAACAATCTACATAACTTGCTCTTTTCTTTGCCACTCATAAGTAATGCAGATGATAAAATCCTTTCAGTCACATCTCAGCTTTTTGTTGTTGTTTTTTTAAACACACAGGATCACACTTAAATACGGACAGTTTTTCATTTTTATGCAAGACTTGTTTTTTAATTTCCATTTTGGTACATGCTATGTTTTTAGAAATGTCTTTGTTTCAATAATCGAGATAGTTTCAGTATAAAACTTCCCAGGTGTTTCCTCATCCTTTGCAATACTGCTACCTAATGCCCCTTTACTATTGACAGAGGCTCAGAAAACTTTTTATGTCTGGTCATGAAAACAAAAAACATTGCAGGTAAAGAGAAAAATGAAATAAAGTTTTATAAACTAAAACAATGTGCTCTAAAGAAGACCACCAAATACTTAAAGTGGAGCAACAGCTTTAATTCTTCAATTCCTAATATTTATGCTTCACTCATAAATCAGTGAGCTACTTCAGATCCAAGTCAGGTCAACTTTTTTCACTTACTAAGGCCCCAGTCATACATTAGTATCTGCTAGGGTAGATTTGTATCTCTTTGTATCTCTGTGGAGTCCCAATGACTGCAATGGGACTCTACACATGCCTGTTTTAGAAGAGCCTGGTGCAAGGTCAGGCCCTTGTAAAGAATGTTTTATATTCTTGAGGGCTGATCCTGTAAGATGCTGAGCCCTTCCTGTGCTGTGGGTCTTTGACTCCCACTGAAGGGTCAAGGCCCTTAATTTTGGATACTTGATACCTTTTTGTTCATGATTTTCACAGTCTTTCCTATATTACAAACATTATACACACACCACACACACAGTACCATTATATATATTATACATACTGTCCCATTCACGCTAGACTCCATTCACGTTCACTTTTTCTTTACAGAGATCTAAAAGATCCTGTTGGAACTAGATTTATAAACAGCAAACATGAAACAGAGTAACTTTATGAAACTGTTCAGCTATTATATTAGAATTGGGAATTTGATTACCTTTTGACTTTTGCAGCTGCACGACTTTGGGGTGTAACTCAATAAGTTCTCAAACCATGCAGAGTCAGGGCTGGTCAATATTTGGATGAGAAAGCTCCAAGAAAAACTTGGACAGGTTGTGGTGTTGGCGATTCATTATATGACGCTCCCCACTGAGTCAGTACTGAACTAACATGCCAACATGGTGTTAAAGGGTCACTATAGTATTCAGTTGACATCCATAACTCTATTTCGAATCACTAAAGATATGGTAGCCTTTTTTACATTTGTAGGGTTTCTGACCCCAGTATTTTGTCAAAACTTTAACTGTGATAGTGATAACATGCTACTTATGGAAACTACCCCTACCGTCTCAACTGGATGTTATTCTACACTTCCTGTCCTAAAACAAAGGTATAATGTACCGACACACAATGGGCTGCTGCACATCTGTCTGAAAGATGGCTGTATTCCAGTAGTAGTTGAAGTGATTCCTTTGCACATTTCCCTCTTATTGCATAAAACAATGCACTAGGGAAGAATTGCTCCCCCACATGTGCCCCCCACCCTTTTACAAGGCTTTTTTAAAAGTCATTTTTCATTTCATCCCACCTTCTACTATCAGCAGCAGATCAATAAAGGTAGGGGAAATATCCAGT